CAAAACCCCAAAACCCCAAAACCCCAAAACCCCAAAACCCCAACTTCTTTACAAAACTTAATATAATATGTCAAACTTTGCATTATTTCAGAATGGAGGTGAGCATAATGATAGTAAGGTAAACATTACATTTCTCAAGACTTCTAAAATACCAGAGTGAATTCCTTAACTGAGAAATTAGTGCAGGGCTTCGCACAGGCAGGATTTTAAATAGTTCTATTAGCATAACTTATACAGATTTTAGGGCTCACGGAACAATTGATTCATTATTTCAGTCATACAAATGTACCTCAGGTAAGATATCTGCTATATAACCATAGTATTGATGATCTAATGAACAGTATTTATGCTGTCTCAGAAGAAGCTCGGAAGCAAGAGCTTCCTGAGTATATTTAAGGCGATTTGTGATTTATTTTTAAGAGCAAGGGATTACGAACTTGATAGTCAGGATGTAAGTCGAGGATACGGTTTGGGGTGTGTTGGTGGGAAAGTGTGGGCTGACTTTGATGTAGCAATGACCACTGAATATGGATTGGCTAAGGAAAGAGTTGAACGATAATTACTCAAATACTTTCCAATATAATCAACAAGGAGATCCTGAGTCTGTATTCTTCCTTTTTAACAAAGTTCTAAGAAGAATTATGGGGAAGAACACTTCCAACTTTGATTCTGTTTTATTAGAAAATGGGTCTATCGAAGTGACTTCACAAAACTTTACTGAGAGGAATACTATCTCTCAAGTTGCAAAGTTTTACCAAGCACGCAAACTTGGAAGTAAAGTAAGTCGTATTTTCTCCAACCACTTATTATCTATAGAGGTTGAGCCAGCTATACGGGATATCTCCTCTGGCATCAAGCAAGTCTATCAAGTACCTTCGGGAATAAAATTCTAGGTCTAATTTACAAAGAATCGATGAAGAGGAGGAATTTACGAATGCAGTCATCGATGACTATTTTAGCTATGATTATCTCCATAGTACCTTTGAAAAAGATGGTGCTGAAAATGTCAGATGAGGTACAAGTGATATCATGAGGATTGATTTCAGACCGATCATTGAGCAAATGGTCAATCTCCACTGGGATGAAGAATCCGCAAAACAGAAGATTAAAGGGAAGTTCTTTCTCTTTGCGCACCATTTGTGGCTGAATAACCATCTTAAGAAGATTTTCAGCTTAAGATCTTTGATAGAGACTGAGGATCATGATAGCTTTATTACCAGCAGGAAGGCTTATACAATCACAAAGTTGCCTAAGTTCTTTGTTTTCAACTGAGAATACGGTGAATTCTTTAATTATTCCTCCCTAGGCGAGGAAAGCACAGACGATGACTTTAGGAGGTAAGTATACAGAAATAAATCAGTTTAGGCATTTTTGATATGTTCTGCCAAAAAGATTTGATATCACACTCTGTATGGACATTGTTGAGGAGGAAGATGAGATCAATTTTAGTGTCAGCAAGTCTAGTCATACCCACAAAAGGTCAAACTCGGTTGGTCAAAGTAGAAGAATGGTCCTATTGCATAGGTAATTATTTTAGTATCAAAATACAGCATAATCGGGTATAATGGAGGTCATTATACAAATTATTCCAGAAAAGGAAAGTTTTGGTACAAATTTGATGACTCTAACTACTATCATATTGGATCATACAAGGATTTACTTCAGCAACTGGTGGAGTAAGTTTTGAGGTTATTCATAGCTCGAAAATTCTTCCTTATTTTGTAGTTTATAAGCTTGAGAGCAAGAAAGAATCCATGATTTCTTATAAAAGTGACACTGCAAGAGAGTCAGAAGCCACAGAATACGCAAAAAGCCAGATTATGGAAAACACTTTTGATGAAGAGAAGAAAGAAGACTACAAAAATCATGAAATTACTCGTAATTGCATTTTCCAATATTCCTCCACTCAAATTTTATCAATTTTTATCTCTTCCTTTAGCAAGATGATTGCCTTCTTCTCCGCTAGAAGCTACACAGAAGAAGAGAATTAACACTGTTTATACTATCAACCCTACCGAGGAAGAGAGTAATCTTGAAACTAGTGAAGAAAAGATCTCTAAAAGAAGGAGCGCATACATACACTACAGTATTAATAAATGTAAGCTCATATCTTCTGCTTCTCAGTACCCTAAATGTGAATTTGTGTTTCTTCTTATTGTATCAATACCCTCTCAGATTTCTCTTATAAACGAGTAACTCTATGTACAATTTTTGCTAGCCATCCCATGACCCTATTTTGAACTCCTTCTTACTGAGCTATTCAAAAACTGAATCTACATAAATGAATCATCAACAACATATTTTTGGTCTACATTTCCATTTCATAAAGAACTACAGAAATGGAGAATTTAATCACTTTTTGATAAAATGACCTAATCCTTGATGTAGATGCATCCTTTGAAGAAGAAAGTTCTATGAGCAAATAAACTTGAGATGACTAGCAATCCAAGGAATAATACTGATTACTCAGGTGATGATGAAGAGGAGTCTGAGTATTTTAACCCTTCTGGTAAATCAAGGAATAAGAGAAAGAAATCTAAGAAGGCAAAGAAGGCAAAAAAAGGTTGTTGATTTAGGAAGAAGACTGATCCTCCTGGTCCTACTCAGTGCTGCTGTTGATGAATTTTCTAATCTTTTCTATTTTGTATTCACAAATAGTTTCAATTAAATATAAACTTCTTGGGGTTTTGGGGTTTTGGGGTTTTGGGGTTTTGGGGTTTTGGG